ACTGATTGTTTATTCATGTATCTATATATTTAAATACATTTTTAATCGATCTTATTATTATTATTATTATTAGTAGTAGTAGTAGTAGTAGTACTACCTGTTTTTATTGAGTCCTTCAGTGATAGCATCATGTTTAAGGGACAGGGTTTGTATTTTTATTACCTTTTTATTCCTTCTGTTCTGTAAATCACTTTGTGTTACATTTCATTTGTATAAAAAGTATAAAAAATTAAGTCTGTTTGACTGATTGATTGAAATTAAAGCATCTGTTTCCTTTAAGTGTGAACATGTATTAAATCATGTCTACACTCAAAAAAAATTAAAACAAGTATTAAAAGGTCTAATTTCAGTCACAAAAATGGTGTTATTTGGTAAGAAAATCGATTTCGTTCCTCTGCTGAACTGGAAATACAGTATTTTGGAGTTTTATTGTGGATTTTTCTCCTTTAATTACAGTTGTAAGGGATGCTAATGGTGCAAAAGACTTTTATTGTGAAAGTCAGCTGTGAATAAAGGTTAGAAAAAAGCCGGAGCTCCTCACCTGACACATGAACAGTCACAGAGGATGGTTTGCTCTTTATTCCCAGAACTGTGACCGACTGAACCACAAGGTCACAGTCAAATGTTCCTTCTTCACCGGCAGCACTGAAGGGAAGAAAACAAATCACCACACCTGAGCTCTATTTAGGGTCGATTTGCTTCCAGAAGCAGCATCTGTGTCGAGTATTTTTATCACACATGGAGCCCTCTGACTCACCGGCAGAGCAGCCGGCCGGACAGCATGTCGAACCTGCGCAGACAGAAGGACTTTGTGTCTCGGTATCTGAAGGAGTGGAAGTCGTCCAGGTACAACTGGCCAGCAGCGCCGCCCTGCAGAGAGGCGAGGCTGCAGGGTTAGTCAGGGATCACTGATTGAAAGACACAAATGTCACTGGCAAATGTGCCTGCTGCCCCCGCGACCCGACCCCGGATAAGCGGAAGAGAATGGATGCATGGAAATGTCACTAACATATTGACAGAAAGCAAAGAACTGAGAGAGTCAAATCAATCATGAGCTCTTAGGTTATCATTTATTATTGAGCATTAAAAGAAGGGACAGTTGGCTACGAAGATGGCCCTACCGTTCTGGTGCGCCTGTCTACATCTATGAAGCTCTTGATCAGACCTATATGAAAATATGACCCCGACAGAACCAGATTTTCCAGAATCCTCCGGTAGTTACCTCACAGTTTAGAGCCACAGTGATGGAGAGGGGGAGCAGCTGGAGGTCAGCTGTGCAGGAGAAACTTCCTACTGATCTGCAGATCACCGATCCGCCGCGCTGGAACACTGGAACCTGCACAGAGGAAACATCAAAATCTAATCTGATGTTAAAGGCCTCCAGTGTCTTAATAAAAACCAGTGACAGCCCAGTATGAGTCGACACTGACTGTGTTCAGAGTGACGGGAAGACTGAGAGTCCTTCCTCCTCTGGTCGCCTCTGCAGAATCAACGTCATACCAAATCTAAAAGAGAAACCAGCCTCAATGAAACATCCACGATGAGGTGCACCATGAATATATTCAAATGTGTGAACATGTTACCTGCTGGTTCATTTACCTCACCAGATCCAGGAAGTAAAACTTGGACTTCTTGGACACCCGGTTCGGTCACAGGACAAACCAGCAGCGCTCCTCCTGCAACCAAACAAAACGCAGTTAAACTCCGCAGTAACTCCAGTTGTACGCTGTGTAATACTGCAGAGATAAAGAGTCACTCATCACCTATCATGTACTGGTGGTCCACGCTGAAGGTGTTCTGTTCTCTCGGGAACTCCACCCACAGAGGTCTGCACAGTTTGAAATAAAATCAGTGGTTCTACAAGCTAACCATGGATGTTTTTAGTAATTTACTCTGAGGTTCAGTATCAAAGCATGGCGGACGCTGACCTCTAGTGCCGGAAAAAGCTCAGTGATGCAGAATAAAGTGGGGACATCTGTGGCTGTAGTACTGGAAGTGAACAGCAGGTGGCAGCAGCACTCACCTGAGTGGAGGTAAACCGCAGGTGTGAGCCTGGTGGAACAGTGAGTACCAGTATGGCAGCAAGCAGTACCTGAGTACAGACAACAATGTGATATTTTACAGTGTGAGACAATCAGACGAGTCGGTTTTGAGGAGTTTGTATCTGATGTTTACTCTTACCAGACACTTACCTCAGTTAGAAAAAAACAACTTAAACAAAAAACATGCCTTACTTTACGAAAGAATAGGTAAAATGACAATATCTATCAGGTCTTTGATCTACTCATCTAAGAATGAACCATCAAAATCAGTTGATTCTACATGTGAGATTTGAAAATTTGCCAAAAATAAAGCATTTGCTCAATCCGCATTCTGTAAAAAAAAAAAAATTTCAAGCTTCTTGTTGCAACCAGCAAGATACGACTGACTCAGGTGTGACCAACAATCATGTGACAAAAAATTATACAGAGAGTGATGACAGGTATGGAAACTGATTAAAAATGGGAAGTTCTAAAATATCTATAATAATCATTTTGACCGTATCTATAATAAGTAGAGCTACCACGTTAAGAAAAAGAAATAGATTCTTATGATTTATGGCATTCTAACTTTGTCATATTGCATAGAAGATATTTCTGGGTTCTCTCTATTTCTAGCTATGGTTGTGCAGTTTTCTTAGTTTCTTGTGTGATAACGCTGCTTCTATGAGTCCCCACATAGAAATGTGGCATCTTCGAGATTCGTTTGTGGTATTTTTGTGTTCATTAGACTGTATGTACAGGAAATATGTTTGTTTGTTGCACTTCAGAAGTTTTTTTTGTTTCGGGCTTTCCAATTTCAGGCAATAAAATGACTCAGCTGAACTACATATTAACATCAGATTAGTACATTTTTCCATGTGACCACTGGTGATAGCAAAACTAGGGGAAAAATGGCGGCTCTACATACTACAGCTAGTTAACGATTTACATCTTTACAGCCTCTGAAAACTCTTTTTTCTACACTCCTGTGCAAATAAACTCTGAAAGCTATTTCACCATGCTGAATGTATCGTCAGTCCTCTGTAAACCATTTTTGAATTCATTTTATTGCTCCAGTATATTTGATTTTTCTCTCAGTCTCTCTAATTTGTTTCAGTGCTTGCTATCTGTTCTCAGAGTGACTTCTTATTTGAGCCAAGAAAAGCAGAATTATTGGCTTTTTTACAGGCTCTGGTGCAAATGGTTCTTTGTTGGTCAACTTTTCAATTAGACAGACAGAATAAAGCGACTCTGATGAACTTTTAAACTTAGATTTAGTTCATTCTTGGAACAGGATTGCACATCACACGTTAGGTTCAAGGACTGTCGTAAAGTTATAAGTGCAGCAATTTTTTCTGTTGTTCCAGTTTCTGGCTCTAACACATCATGTAATTTTGGTAATTTTTAAAAGACTTTTTAAACCTGCTGCAGGTTCAGGGGTTCAAAAAGGTTCAGCGGTTGTGGAACTGTTGTCATCAGAAGACAATAATCTCAGTACCGTTGTTGGATTGCAGTGCGGATCGCAGCCGTGACTTCTTCCCCAAACAGCCAGGGCTCCCGGCGCTTCATCATCTTCGCCGAGTGACCTCGGAAAAACGGCTGCAGGGCGGCTGCCTGGTACCAACGGACCAACAACTCCGGCTCCGGATCCTGAAAGAACCCTCCAACATCGGCTGGAACATGGAGAATAAAAGAGGTTAGTGGCAATAAATCTGAAAAAGCAAAAGCAAAGCAGCATGTAGCAGTCAGCCGGGACTGTTCTCATACAAACTACTAAACTAACCAAGTGGTTTTGAGGTGAAGGCTCCTACAGTATGCACATTCTGTGAGAAAACAAGACTATAAAATGACTGTATTTTCATTGAACTTGCTCAATTCTGTCTCTAAAACAAGTCAAGAACAACAGGAACTTGTAATTTCAATATTTAGAGCTATATTAACAGTAACTCACCTCCACAAAAAGCTATTCCAGCCAAGCTCAGAGACAGCAGCATTGGAACGGAGATCTTCAGGTACTCCCAGCTGGCCACGTTGTCGCCCGTCCATATCGCTCCTGCAGCCCAAACCAAGTCAGCACAATGAAGGATTCATGCATGGAAACATAAAGACAGTTTAAACATGTTTAAATATCTCACCAAATCTCTGTGAGCCGGCGAAGAAGGAGCGTGAAAGGACAAACGGTCTCTCTGAGCCTCCAGATCGAGTTATCAGACCGTCCACAGTGGCCATGTGCTGCGAGGAAACAACAGGAACGGTAGTGATATTAATAATGATCATTAAGTAAAGTTATATGACTCATGTGAGGAGGAGATGTGACTTTATGGAGCAGCTTCAACACTCTGAACCCCAAAAGTCTGGATTGAAAGGCATGCTTTCTTTAAAAAGTCACTAAAATTATAACATTTATCAGAGACGGAAACTGTAAAAAGGGTTAGAAGCATGAGTTTTTAAGCTTTTCATCGATCCACGAGCTCATCTCTGATGTGCCGTTCAGATGGAAAAAAATTCTCTCAAATTTAAGCTTAAGATTGACATTATCAGCATCACTTTATTCTACATGTTTCAATTTTAAAAAATCAGAATCTGTAAAAATAAATAAAATAAATGAAAAATTCTGCCTAGTGCAAGTGAGGAGCCTTTCATGGCTTAACTGTGACCAGCAGTCATATAACAAAAAAATCAGGGACTATTTGGTTGAGCTGCAGGCTGTGTACACAAAGTAGTAAAACAAGTTAAAAATGTACACAAATAAACATCTATAGTATATGAAGACACATTTTTTTGCAGTATTGGTAACACCTGTGGGCACTTGGAAAAAATGTGTTTATTGATTGTAGTTTTTTTTTTCTTTCTATTTTGTAACATTAAAAAATCAAGGAAATTAAACTTTCTTTTTTTTTTTTTTAAAGAAAAAGCAAAAAACACCTGGAAACTGCTTGAGGTTCAGAGCATTTGGGAGTCGATCAGTAAAAACGCTCTCACAAGTTGTAGGACTTTCCCACTCCGAGGATTTCTGGTGTTACCTGAAGAACTAAATGATGTGTTTCTGCACAGACAAAATTCAAATTCTCACAAAAACACAGATTTCTATGCACAGAATTTGCTAAAATTGCATATGTATAATAATAAAACAGTGCACGGCAACACCTTTAATTCAACACGTCCATATTATGCATGTTTACAAGTTTATTTTTGTATTTTTAGGGTCTTTTGGAACACTAGGCAGGCAAATATGTTACATGGTGACTGGATAAGTAAAAAGAAAAGCCTGGACTTTTGGAAGTTTGGAAACCTTTGACATACACAATATCCATCCATCCATCCATTATCTATACACCGCTTAATCCTCACTAGGGTCATACACAATATATATACGTATTTACACTATATTGCCAAAAGTATTCGCTCATCTGCCTTGACTCACATATGAACTGAAGTGACATCCCATTCTTAATCCACAGGGTTTAATATGACGTTGGTCCACCCTTTGCAGCTATAGCAGCTTCAACTCTTCTGAGAAGGCTGTCCACAAGGTTTAGGAGTGTGTTTACAGGGATTTTTGACCATTCTTCCAGAAGCACATTTGTGAGGTCACACACTGATGTTGGACGAGAAGACCTGGCTCTCAGTCTCCGCTCTAATTCATCCCAAATGTGTTCTATCGGGTTGAGGTCAGGACTCTGTGCAGGACAGTCAAGTTCTTCCACACCAAACTCTCTCATCCATGTCTTCATGGACCTTGTTTGTGCACTGGCACACAGTCATGTTGGAAGAGGAAGGGGCCGTCTCCAAACTGTTCCCACAAAGTGGGAGCATGGAATTGTCCAAAATCTCTTGGCATGCTGAAGCATTCAGAGTTCCTTTCACCGGGACTAAGGGGCCAAGCCCAGCTCCTGAAAAACAACCCCACACCATAATCCCCCCTCCACCAAACTTTACACATGGCACAATGCAGTCAGACAAGTACCGTTCTCCTGGTAGCCGCCAAACCCAGACTCGTCCATCAGATTGCCAGATGGAGAAGCCCGATTCGTCACTCCAGAAAACGTGTCTCTACCGCTCTAGAGTCCAGTGGCGGCGTGCTTTACACCACCGCATCTGATGCTTTGCATTGCATTTGGTGATTAATGGCGTGGATGTAGCTGCTCTACCGTGGAAACCCATTCCATGAAGCTTTCTACACACTGTTCTTGAGCTAATCTGAAGGCCACATGAAGTTTGGAGGTCTGTAGCGATTGACTCTGCAGAAAGTTGGTGACCTCTGCTCCCTATGTGCCTCAGCATCCGCCAACCCTGCTCTATCAGTTTACATGGCCTACCACTTGTGGGTGAGTTGCTGTCGGTCCCAATCGCTTCCACTTTGTTATAATACCACTAACAATTGACTGTGGAATATTTAGGATCAAGGAAATTTCACGACTGGATTTGTTGCACAGGTGCATCCTATCACAGTACCACGCTGGAATTCACTGAGCTCCTGAGAGCGACCCATTCTTTCACAAATGTGTGTAGAAACAGTCTGCATGCCTTGGTGCTTGATTTTATACACCTGTGGCCATGGAAGTGATTGGAACACATGATTTCGATTATTTGGATGGGTGAGTGAATACTTTTGGCAATATAGTGTATTTGCCTAACCCGTTAAAGAAAAGGGAGAGGCTGGACTCAGAGTAATGAGCCGGCTCACCTGGTAGAAGCCGTACAGGTTGTGTAAATCGCGGTGCTCCCAGCCCCCACAATGCACTGCGTCCTTGGGCATCGTCTGCTCCGGTCCGTTGAATACAGACGGTTCGTTCATGTCGTTCCACACAAACAGGGACGACGTCGACCCCTGCAGCAGACATGAACACTTTCACAACACTGTGAGATTAAGGTGTTAAAACTGCTAAACAATGCTGCAACTAACAATTACTTACATTGTGGATTGTGTTTTGGATGAATTGGTCAGAATATGGTGAAAAATGTCAATGATTGTTTCTAAAAGCTCAAGATGACATCCTCAAAGTGTTCATGTCACTATTTATGTCCATACTTTCCCTTCTGTTTATTCCGTATATATTCACTTTACTGCTGCTTTTGCACTTCTAGTTAGGTGCTAAACTGCATTTTGTCGTCTTGACAATAAAGCTGAATCTAATCTAATGTCCTGTTTTATCCACAACCTAAAAATATTAAGTTTACTGTCACAGAGGAACAAAGAAACCAGAAAATATTCATGTTTCAGAAGCTGCAATCACAGAGAATTTGAACTTTTCTTCCTTCAAAATCATTCCAACTGATTAATCAAACACCAAAAAAAGTTTAAGTTAGCAGTTCACAATGCATTAATCGCTTGATGCAGCTCTGCTCAGTCAGTGAGCATATTTTGCAATGAGAACACAATCTTATTGTGCAGAAAAATAACCTCAAGCACAAACAAAATGACATCTAGTCTTTAAATACTGACTGATTCTGCATTTGAGCTGCTTGAAAAACTTAATCTACAGCAAAAAAAAAAAAAAAAGATAAATGCAACATTACTTCAGTCTTCATCAAAGATCAATACATTCCTTCTGTTGTGATCGTTGTTTAATGATATTGATCCTTACCTTGTATTTGTCCAAGCTGAAGCAGCTGGAGTACCAGGCTCGGGTGGCTGGGCTGCTGAAATCGAGGTAAGAAGACTCACCTGTGAAAATTAGAAAGAAAACATGAACGATATTAGAAGCTGAGGAAGAAACTTTACAGTAAAAGATTCTTTTTTGGAGCTTTTTTGAGAGTCTGTGTCACATTTCTGTGAAGATATGACAGCAGAAATGAACTGATTAATTGTTTGGGCCATAAAATGTCCTCAAATGTCTTGTTCTGTAAGATGATATTCAGTTTACTGCAACAGAAGGAGGAAGGAAACCAGCAAATATTCAACTTAAGAAGGTGGAATCAAAGTTTAATTCAACAGTATATAAATGCTCTACACTCTGAATTTTTATCACATAACTGTTGGTCGCAGATAGATCGCTGATGGCTTCACGGTTGTGTCGAGAAGCACAGAATTTTTTGTTTTTTACAGAATCCAGTTTGTGAATAAACTTTATTTTTAGCAGATTTTTAAAATGAGACATGTAGAATAAGGCGATATCACGATCTGATGAAGTGTTCTGATCGAGCAACATGTCACAGTTAAAGAAAATATGATAATTCTGTCTATTTGTTTCTGATAAACTGTGTTATTTTGGTAATTTTTTTAAAGAAACATGCCTTTCACATCTACCGGCATGTTTTAGGATAGAAATTAGAAAGTACCATTCTATTTTTTTAAATGCAATTTCATAAATAAGCTGTATTTCCTATAAAGCAAACATTACCAGGCCAGCATGTTCCTTTATAAATCTGTCCATCTCTGTCTTTAACAAAATGCCCTCCGTCTCTCGCCTCACAGTAGAACGACCAATCAGGATCGAGCTTGATGTGGGGGTCACTTATCACCACCAACTGGACAAAGAAAAACATGTAAAAAGTTCAATGGTTAGTTGTTTCAGCTATAAAATGTCTTGTTTTATCCAAAGATAATCAGTTTACTGTCACGGAAGGAGGAAAGAAACCAGAAAATATTCAAACTTGTGAAGCTGGAATCAAAGTTTAATGAAATTTAACAATCTATAAATATGAAAATGCCCTAAATTCTGCACATTTTGCTCCCTGAAACCGACCTTCCTCTTCTTCTTCTCCAGGTGAAGCTGCAGTCGCGCCGGTTGGGGAAAATGAACGGGGTCCCAGGTGAAGTACCGCTTCCCGTCCGTGTGCTCGATGTCCAGCCAGATGACGTCGTACGGGATGTCGTGGCGATCGAATCCGGCGTCCACGGCCTTCACGTCGGCCTCGTCGTCGTAGTTCCAGCGGCTCTGGTGGTACCCCAGAGCGAACAGAGGAGGCAGGGCCTGGAATCCTGACGCAGAGAGAGAACAAAGTTTTGAATCTTTTTGAATTTGTTGTTTATTGTGTAGCGATGATGTGAAGATGCTGAAGAAATTCTACGTTGATACCGTCTTGTTGATGTACAAAAAAGTTCATTCACACAAGTACAATATCTCAGTGAGAGGATTCGAAGCCGAAACAAATCACCCTCCAGAGTAGACGAACCACTGGCTTATACAGTGGAGTTGTTTTCATTGAACGAAGAGCCAGTCAATCAAACCATATGGTTGACCCCCCACATCTAGACTATGAGGCGACTTCCTTCAGTGACCTTTGACCTGTTCACTTTATCAACACATCCCAAGCTCATAGGGGTAGTATTTCAGATACCACGTATTTTTAATGTTTCCTGCAGGTTTTGTGCCGCACCTGTCAGCTGAGCGTACTGTCCGAAGAGCTGCTGAGGATTTGGGCCGAGCAGAACCGTGCAGTCGATGACGCCGCTCTCCGACAGCCAGCGGACGTCGGTCTGAGGCTCGACCTTCCTCCTTCGCACCAGCGGGGATTGATCATCCTGGAGGAGATGGAAATAGTTTGTGGTTGTGAAGGTTTATTTTACAATAAGTCTGATTTTTCTTGAGAGCTCACGCAGCATGTGTGCAATAATAAATGCAGAATTTGTTCTTTTTTACAGAATGTGATGACTGCAAACACTTTATTTTTGTCGATTTTTAAAAAAAGATTTAGATGTAGAATAAAGTGATTTTGGGCTGCAAGATGGCTCGGTGGCTAGCATCGTTGCCTCGTAGCAAGAAGGTCGCCGGTTCCCGTCCCGATGAGGACACCCGGGATTTTTCTATATGGAGTTTCCATGTTCTCCCCGTGGGTTCTCTCTGGGTTCTCCAGCTTCCTTCTACAAGGTCCAGCCCCATGTTGAGGTTAATTGGTGATTCCAAATTGTCCGTAGGTGTGAATGTGAGTGTGCTTGGTTGTCGGTCTCTAAGTGTAGCCCTGTGATAGACTGGTGACCTGTCCAGGGTGTCTCCTGCCTTCACCCTGAGTCAGCTGGGATAGACTCCAGCCCCCCATGACCCTAGTGAGGATTAAGCAGTGTATAGATGATGAATGGATGAAGTGATTTTGATGAAATATCACGGTTTTCAGCTTAGAGTTGGTCAAATTTTTAGATGAAACTGCACATCAGAGTATTATTTAAGCATAAAATTGAAAATTTTGAAAATTTGAAACATATTCAAATCCACCAGCAGGTTTTGGGATTCTAAGTAGTAGATTTACAGTATTACGAAGCAGTGAGACATTAATTATTTAGGAGCCGGATGAGTTAATCCATAAAACTCTTGCTACAGTCTTGCATCTCTAACACTAGAAATCTTCCTGAAAGCCTCTGACAGAGATGTAAGTATAAGAACAGCGCTGAAAGAAACCCACCTGCTGCTCAGTGGGGAAATATTGTACGTTTACAAAAGTCTCGGATGCGTTCAGCCAGAATACTCCCAGAGTCCTGTCCGGTTTGTGGGCCACCATCAGCGGTACGGATCCGTACAGGCCGAGGCGACTGAACAGGTCGTAGGCAAACACATCTAAGTTGTACAGCCGGTAAGGTTCGCCGCCTCTGGGGAAGGAAGCACATTCAGAGAACTGGTGAAGACTCAGCAGAAACCACGGATGGTTTACGTGTTCACAGAGGAAGGTTTGTGTACCGCGTGTCTCTGAGCTGCAGGTCGTCTGAATGCTCCGGCAGGCCGTAAACGTGTCTGAATCCATGGAGACGGAGGTCTGCTCCGACGCTGCTTGGACCTGAAGACGGTTTAAAGACAGATATTATCTATTAGGTGGAGTAGAAGCACATTTGGCTCATTTATTACCTAAATCTAAAACTCTATATTTAAATAAGTCTTTGGATTTCACAACCATGGAGCAGAAAATTAAATAGTACACAACATTATGATGTGGTAGTCTATCTAATATGTATGTCTCCATTTTCCCTGATAATAAAAATAAATTACTTTGTGCTTTTAGGCTGCCTTGCACTTCCATTTTGCACTAATGTACATATACCTTTTCTACTAGATGTGTAAATTCTTGTATATATTTGTCTTATTATCTTGTTTGATTTGTTATTAATATTTATTGTATTTTATTCTTTTCTTTCTGTAGTTATTTTACTTTATTTTATTTTTGAAATTTTCCTATTTCTGTTATTCGTGCAAATTCCTAGGGCGACACCAACAGCCGAAACCAAATTCCATGTATGTTGTGTACGTACTTGGCCATTAAAGCTGATTCTGATTCTGATTTTTAAAATACAGTTATATGTATATCAGCTTATTTTCCAGATACTTCTTATAGCATTAAGTGTTATTTGTTCTTCTTAGTGTGTTAAGGCAAGTAATTTAGATATAATACAACCATTTTACTTACGATTTTGTTTTTTTTGTTGGTTGGTTTCATATCGTAATTGTCTGTATTTGGATTCATGTTTTTTTATAACTTAACTCTCAGAACCCCAAAACCTGCCAGAGGGTTTAAAAGGCATATTGTCTTCTAAAAAAAAAATCTCAAATTACACCATTTTTCAGAGCAAAAATCTGTAAAAACAAAAAAAAAGTCAGATTTTCAACTTTCTACGAATCCTTATGGAATCAAAACTGAGTTTTTAATGGTGATATTTCAATGAAATCACTTTGTTCTGCATGTCTTGTGTAAAAATTCCCCTAAAAATGAAACTTTAGCCTTAATCAGATTCTGTAAAATAATAAAAATTCTGCATTCCTCTGCACATCCGTGGAACCATTGGCGACTCAGCTGCGACCAACAGTCATGTGGCAAAAATTCTGTGAAATTTCAGCTGAACTGAAGGCTGTGTTCATACAGAACAGAAAGAGGGCAAGAATGGAAACACTTTAAAAAATATGATTAATAAAAATGAAGAAAACGAGTATCGCCAACATTTAAATGTTCTTTTTTTCCAGTATTGGTACAACCTGTGGCCACTTAAAAATGATGAACATGTGGATTTCTTTTTTTCTTTTCTTTTTGTAAAACCAATAATCAAAGAAATTGAACTTTTGTTTTAGTTTTTTTTCCAATAATGTACAGCATTATAATTTTGTCACACTGCACATAAGACATTTCTGAGTTTTCCCTCCTTCTTCATAGTTGTGCTGTTTCCATAGAGGTGCAGGACTTTATATTGCAGTAAAAAATGAAACTACAGTAAGTAAAAATGTGAGTTCAGAGGGTTAAACTGATTTTTCTACCAGATTAGAGAAAGATAAATAGGACAATGTTAAAGAATAATTCAGGTTTATTACAGTGTAGATGGAACGCATCTAAAAGGTTACAATTGGAGACAGATTTACTTACACGTTTGTCTTTTAAAATATGTAAGAACAGGTACAAACCGTTGGCCTTGAGATCCACAAACTGCCTGAACGTCTCCTTCCATAATGAGTCGTCCTGCAGCTGGAACAAAAGCAGCAAAGACCAGATTCAGCTTCAACTAGGACCAAATTTATAATATAATTTGCACAGTGTTGTTATTCTCTTACCTCACTACCATGAGATGAAGTCCAGACGATAAACAGAGAAAGGAAACCAGTGGAATTATTCAACTAGTGTGCAGGATTGATTGGTTTTAGAGGACATGTGGCCTCCTGCAGCTCTCACCTGGGAGGATCCTGCAGCGTCTCGAACCACAGTTTGCTTTTAGCGTTGAACGTAACCAACACCTCGTTCTCACACAGGATCTCCAGTCGGAAAGGAAAATGCCAGACACGGACCCGGTGACGCCCCGAAGACCAAGTAAGAGTGACGGAGTCGTTGGTCCGTCTGTCGACTCTCAACCTGCCAGATAAAGAAAAAGAAAGCAGTCAACAGATGGAACAACTGCTGCAGAAATCACAGAAATAAAGTTCAAAGAAGAAAAAACTGCGCCGATAAACCTGGATATAGAACTAAAGAAACTATTCAGACCCATACCAAAGTATGATTTATTGTGATTTTTTGTTAACCCGAAAGGCTACGTCTGGCTTGAAATGACAAAACACAGTCAGACACTGTGTGAGAGGATGCATTTTTCACTCCTAGTTTATCTCTTCAACTGTCTTCACTTGAAAATAACATATCAAGTGTGTTTCAAAGACTGAAATGAAAAGTGTAACACTGATTAAAAAGCAAACATAAACACCTCCAACACATTTGCTTAAAAAGACAGAAACTTTAAAGCTGTTAAAGATGTTCACAACAGATGAGGAAGAACTACTAGATGCTTCTAGCACGTCTAAAATAATAAACAAAAAACAAAGACTAATTTGTGTTTTTTACCAGTACATTGCTTGTGTAACCAGATGTTATAATGTGGAGGTGATCCAGATGCAGCTCTTACTGTTCACACTGCGGCTCTTCAGTTACCACATCTGGAACTCGGTATCGTGCCTTAACGGGCCGGAGTTCATCTATTAATATCCTCACAGTGTCACGTTTGGATGGTGACATAGAAAGCAGCAGCCTGGTCTGTGGACGGACGTTAATATCAGAGCAGGGAGAGATTTACTCTACCACAAACACTCAAAGTGACTTTGGGTTAAAGTGTGTTTGTCACTGAGACGATCAGGGCAGATTTTATTTGAACACTGTACCAAGACAGCACGATGATTTATGGCATTATAACGGCACAAAAGACATTTCTGAGTTCTCTTCATGGCTGTGTTGTTTCCATTGAGGTGCAGGATTTTAAATTAAAGTGAAAAATGAGTCTACAGTGAGTAAAAATGTGACAAAAATGCCCAGAAACTGATTAAACACAGTCACAAACAATTAAAAATATTCTTCTTGTGCACAACCTACAAGTATAAAGCTACAAAATATACCTGAACATGAGAAATATTCACTTTAAAAAATGTTACAGTCACTGATTTGCTGTTTAAATTGACCTGCTACACAGTTAAATAACGCACACGGTCTTGTGTAGTCATTTTTTTGTATATTCTCTGTTTATGGCTGATTATACAATAAAAAGAAACTTGAACTAAAAGATCGGTGAGTCTGAACATGACTGCAGGTTCAAGGTTTGGGTTATATGAAGCATTCTGTGGATTCAGGTAAGAATTTTTTTTTTATTGTAACATGAATTGCAACAATTTCCCTGTGGTTCTACCAAAGGGATCAATAAAGTTCTATCAATCCATCTATTTAAATGCATTTAAAAAATAATCTGCCTCTATTTCAGTTTAATCACATATTTTAGGTTTTATTCTCTTAATTTAAGAACATACATACTGTGTAGTCAAACAAACTCAACATCTCAAACTCTTCATAACAAGTTACTGCGAAGCTGTCGGATGTGACTAAACGAACAGAACACAACACATTTAGATTTTCAGTGACACTGACCTGTTTGTCAGGTTCCAACAGTTCAAAACGAGCTCCTTTCTCCGTGAGCACCATCGTGTCCAGAAGGGCTCGATGCTGCAAGTTTGGACCCTGAATCTGTCGCCTGAAAAGTGAAGACAAACCGAAGAATTTAGATTTAATGTACATCTCAAAGTGTTGCTGTCGAGATAAGAAGTCTACTGACGCCATCTATAGCCCAAATCCCACTGAAGACACAGAAAAGCTACGTTCTGGAAAATCTGCATAATTGTGTGGGTCACAGAGCTACAAGTGGTTGACAAATTAAAGGAAAATCCAACATAAAATGTCTTAGTGTCAGCTTTAAAGCTCAGTGGCACTGATTTTCCAAATGTGAACACCATTCTTCCAAAATACATTCCCTCATTTGCTGTTTTTTTTTTTTCTTGTTTTCTTTGATGCTGTTGGGGGTTTTTTTTGTGTGTTTTTTAAAAAAAAAGATATTCGTATAAAGCAAGAACTTAAATTGACTTCAGCAAAAATACAATTTCAACAAAAAGTAATAATAAAAGACTCGAAATAAGTGCAGAAGCATATTGGGGCCATTAAAATAATACATATTTTTAAAAAAGCAACACAAAATGGAAGACCAAACTTAATCGAAGCTAAAGGTTGTGGTGACCTTCCTGATGTCAGCCTACAGAACAGACAGTAAACAAACACATGTTGATTTCTGCATAGTTGTCGTGTACAAAATCCAACTATCCCATTAAAAGCCAAACATGTGTCCTGTTGCAGTCTGACAGTAAACGTGATTCTTTGTGAGAGAGCCGTCGGCATCAGGATAGCAACGGTTCATCACAGAATAAAGATGATTTCACAGATCGAGGCCTCTGCACTCTTTTTGCCTGATTAATCATATCGTCATTTGGTATTTAAATTCGTACATATGTGGGGCTGCCGCTATAACTCAACTGGTTGAGCTGGCGACTCATGTACAGGGGCTGTAGTCCCCGACACAGTGGCCATGGGTTCGAATCCTGCTCATGGCCATTTGCTGCAGGTCCCATTCTTCTCCCCACTTTGCTGTCTCACTCTGTCAAATAAAGGCAAAAAGGCCAAAAAAAACTTAAAAAAAATAAAAAATATTAGGACGTTTGTGTCGGCAGTCATCACAACAGCTGCTTAAAAGCTGCAGCCGTGTCTCTTGGTTTTATGGCTTTTTAGATTGTAGCTGTGCAAAGAAATGTGGTTCTTAACAAACCGCCTTGTGGCATCTAAGAGACGCTAATAAATCTATTAAATGTTTAGATTCCAGGTCTCTGGCTGCTTCTCTGTCCTGCGACTTTTTGGTTTAGTTAGCAAGAGTTTGAGTTCTTTTGTTGTTAATATAGAAAAGGTAACCTCTCATTTAAAAGTCCTCCTTTTGCTTATATTGATTTCCAGTTCCTTAGTTCTTCTTTTTTGTTTATTCGTTTGTTTTTGCAGGGACAGCGTGAGCTATCTAGTCATCTGTTGTCTCTGGGCAGGCGTAGGAAAAAGAGAACAACAGATCAATAAATACAGAAAAACAATACAACAATAATCAATAAAAATCTGTAAAAACAAAATGAAAAGGTCGTCATTGCTGGTGACAAACACTGCAAAGCTTCCTGAGTCTCTGACGTTTGTAGGGATGGAATTACACCTTGTTTTTTTTTTTTACAGCTTTAAGTGAGAAAGCAGATTAACCAAAAGCTGCCACTTCCTGCTCTGTGTTGGTTTATGTTGCTTCCTCAGAAACTCCCTTCTCAGTAAAACTACACACTCAGCTTTGTTAACACCTGTCTTTTTCTCATAACAGGTGATCGATTTGCAGCAGCTCTTCCCTCTAACGGAACAAGTGAAGCCCAACAACGCCTGCAAAAGTGTCTCCAGCAGCACAGCACAGCTACCAGCTTCCTTTCATTTGTCACACTCCTGTATTCGTAATTGCAAATGTAAAACTGTAAATGTCGTATTAAGTGTCCAACACACCTGTAAAAAGCAACGTGCTCACTTTTCTTGAACTTGTCTTTCCCCTCATCTTCAGGGACAACACTGACAAACAAGCAAGAAGAAACACACAAGTTACACAAGCAGGTTTTTACAAGAATAAAACACCTCAAATTGACAGAAATTGACATAATGTTAACACCAGCAGCCTCCAGTAAACAAACATTCACTAGACGTTAACTGCACGAGCTGCAGTTTGCTCTATAAACAGACTAACTGAATGTCAAAGGTCAACATGAGTGAATCAGTGGCTGCAGCAGCGTAAACAAACAGCTGCTTGTACCTGACAACATCCTCCTCCATCTCCAGCAAACATCGGCCGATGCTCACAGTCGCTCGTTTCCTCCGTCCGCCGGCAGCAGCAGCTTCATTACTGTTCAGCTTCAACCTCGTGTTTCCTTCTGACAGTGACAGCTGCACAGATCACAAGGAGGAAGTGAAGCATCAAGCAGAACAGTGGACAACCCAGCAGCAGTTCTCTGTGGATTTTCAAAATAAAGTGCAGATTTTTTCAGTGCACAACTTCATGTGTCCAACTTTTTCTGGATTTGCTTCTCCTGTTCTTTTTCACATAATTTGAGTGTTTTTTTTTTTAAAGTTGTCGTTATTGTAACTTTACAAAATTACAGAATGCAGCAGATGTGAGCAAACCCCTGTGAGGCATCACTTAAACGTCAGATGATTGTAAAATGCATCACCGATCAGAAACTGAGATATTTCCAGGTTCACAAGTTGAAGATTTTTTCTTATGAAGAACTAAACACAAAAAAGACTAGAGTGAAAATACAGACCCCAAAGTACGAGCTCGTCTACAATATCAGTGTTTCTTATATCACTTTATCTACTCACAAAAGAATCTCTATGGCATCATTGTTTTTCAATATGTCACAGTCCAAATTAAAATCCAGGCAGGTTAAAATTTTGATTTGGTTTAGGCGGATTTTAAATCTGGCTGTGCAGAACAAAAATTTTGATTTTGCCTAGACCAGATTAAAATCCTTCTATTATCATAATGAAATCCTGCCTGGGTCAGTTTTAATCAGGACTATGACAAATACATAGTGAGGTGTGACACAATGCAAGGTGTTAATCTGATACAATCTCCACACTTCACCGTGTGTGAACCTCACATTCTTTAATGCTGTAACCATCAAAGGGTCAAATCAACATTTTAATTTAAATATATATGAAGAGGTGTGATGCATCTGTTGTCATGTTTAACGGTCACACAATACTCGTACAAATACTACATATATATGAATGATTTTAATTTGGTCTAGGTGAAATCAATCTTATAATTCTGATATAATTCTGATTTTTCAATTTGGTGTGGTCAAATTTTAAACCTGCCTAGGCAGGCTCACAATCTCAATTTGTTATAAGGATGATTTCAATTTGGTCTAGGCGAAACCAAAATGATAGTTCTGCCCAGGCAGATCTCAAATCTGCCCAGACCAAATCAAGATTTAAATCTCACCTAGGCAGATTTAAAATCCGCCTGGATTTTAATTTGAACTGTGATATATATATATGCATGTAGTATCTTTATTTTCCACATCCAGAGGAACCTGCGCAACATCTCATATTCCACATGTGGACAACATTCCACCTTTAATGTGTCACGTTACAGCAACGCTAGAAAACGTTCTGTCATCTCGATAACATCTGGACAACTTTTTTTTAATGTTGGCTTGTGAATGTTCTTTCTTTGATATCATGAAACACTGTGACAATGTTTATTTAAAGAATGTTTTATAATGGGTTCCTCAAGAACATCCTCAAAACATTCTCAGAACCTTTCAGGCAGAATGTTCCACCTTTGGTTAATACGTCACATTACAGGAACATTTTTTGAACGTATTGTTTTTCAGCGTTGGTTTGAGAACTTTCTGCTCCTGAAAGCATCCCTGAATGTTGACATAAAAACATTTAGCTAATCAACTTTACAGGAACATTACTGGAAATGAAAAAAATAATTTTTTAAAAAATCTTAAAACGTTCTTTAAAGATTTGATGAAATTTTTTTTTATCAAAACAAACAATATAACTTGTAGTTATTTAATGTTGTGGGAACGTTCCTGCCCTGCTCCACTGCCCCCTATCGCTTCAGAAGCTAACACCGGCTGCTAACGTGGCTGCTGGCGGTGTGTCGCCCCCCGGCGGCCGCAGCCGGAAGCGCAGCCAGCGGTTCCCGGAACTGGAGGCGGATACGACTGTGACCGGAGTTAAAGACGCACAAATGAAGATGCCAGATGCTCCGGCGCATCCGTTATTATGTTTGCTGCTTTTCGCTCTAGTTTTCCGTCCCGGGACAGCGGCGGAGGTCTCCGTGTGGAGCGTGGACATCAACTCGGTTAGTTGAGCCCGTCAACGGGCGCCTTTTTTTTTTTTTTATTTTTTTTACGACCGTTACGAGTCAGTGTGTCGAGCTAAATGAGACATAGCAGCTGCTAGCCGGTAAGCTAACTAGCTCCTAGCAACGCTCCGTCCGCTGGCCGCTCCAGCTGTCAGCAACACAGCAGCGCGGTGTGACAGCTCTCCGGTCACAAGTCCGACTAGATCCACGTCTCTTTTCCACATTGTCGTGATTTAAAACCAGAAATCTACGTTTTAAATGTGGTGTAAAGGCACAAACTAACATGCTACCAGGGAAGGCAGGTGATGTGCTCAGGGCACAACATTGTGAGCAGGTGTGTTGTAATTAAAAGAAGGGTAGACCACTCAGGAAATAATCTTTAATAAAGGTTTGTGTTGTGATTAGGATAAAACTAGTCAACCCTGTTATTATACTGACAGAGGGGCTACTGTTTAAAATATTGTGGTTAATCTTGCCAGAAGGAGAAACACTCCTCAGAATAGACTAATAACAGCTGTCTGAGAGGGTTTAAAACATGTATCAGGAGCTAAAAATGCTTCGTGTCTCTGCAAAGAACAATTAATTCAGACTAATTTAGCTGTGAACACTCATTTATACACGATAAGTTTCTTTGTATAACAATTCAGAGTATTTTAGATAAAACATGGAGGCATTAAGAGAAGAACACAAAACATAAACTGTTAATAGTTGTCAGCTATTAAACTAATCACCAACTATTTTGATAATTGATTCATCAATTTAAGTCAATCTAAACATTAAATGAATGAATTCCAGCTTCTTATATTTGAATATTTTCTGGTTTCTTTCATCCTTTGTGACAGTAAATTAAGGAAAGTATGTTTTACTTGTGCACAAAACAAGATATTTGTCATATTGTTCTTTGGGAAACATTTTTCCTTTTACCTTTTTTAGAGCAAACAACTAATCGAATAATCATAAATAATCAACAGACACCTAATTGACAATGAAAATAATCATTAGTTGCAGCCCTTATGGGTTAGAAAGTCAATATGCGTTGCTTAATATTAGTTTGGCGGATATATTTTTACACAGAGACGTTGTTGGGATGTTGAAAACTTTAGATTTAAACCTGATAATTGCACGATTTTCAAGTTACTATATCAGATTAAAACAGATTTGAAGATGTTTGGGGCTCAGTCCAGTCCAGCGCTCTTTAGATTTTACTATTTCGAGTGCACCAGATTGAAGTGATTTCAGAATAAAATGAATACAGCATGTGAGACGCTGTGCTCAGTAAGGTCATCCCACTTTGTTTCTGTGCTCGTTCCATGTTCTACATTCGTATCAAAGTGAGTGCAGGGTAGCCCGACGGGTTGGTCTTATTTGTTTTAGTTTACAGCCATAATTAGATCTAAAGGTGAGACTGTGTTGTGACCTCTGACGAGCTGCTGTGATATGGACGTATCATCTCTGTGAGTTTTAAGATCAGAGTCCAAACGGCAGCCGACTGATTTGTTGTCTGTTGTGTTTTCAGACACAAGATGCTGTGTTTCGGAAGACGCTGTACGCCAACACTACAATCTACATGAACTGTGAGTAGGCTGACTTCTCCATCTTTGACTGTTGATTGTTTGTTTTTCACTCCCTAAAATGATACCATCCATCCATTATCTATACACCGCTTAATCCTCATCAGGGTCATGGGGGGCTGGAGTCTATCCCAGCTGACTCAGGGTGAAGGCCGGGGACACCCTGGACAGGTCACCAGTCTATCACAGGGCTACACTTAGAGACAGACAACCAAGCACACTCACATTCACACCTACGGACAATTTAGAATCACCAATTAACCTCAACATGGTGTTGGACTGTGTGGGAGGAAACTGGAGAACCCAGAGAGAACCCACGCTGCACGGGGAGAACATGGAGACTCCACGCAGAAAGATCCCGGGTGTCCTAAGCGGGACGCAAACCGGCGACCTTCTACCTGCAAGGCAGCAGTGCTAACCACTGAGCCACCTAGCAGCCCTGAATGAAAGCGCTTAGCTTTAAAAAATACGAGGATATTCTACCTTTTTATAAATTTTTCAACAGAAAACTTGGAAAAACTATTTGGAAATAATAATTTTAGTATGATTGGGATGATTTTGTGCCTCTGCATTGAAAATAAAAAATCATTTTATGAAAAAAAAAAAACAGTTTCTCACCTGGTGTAACACTATCAAAGCAATCCAGAATAGTTTTTTTGATCTGGCCTTGCAATCATCCTACAGAGCTCTGTGGACTTTTTGTGCTATTTTTATTCAGCGTTTCTCTCCTTTTCTTGCTGTGCACAGGTGAAGCCTTCATGTCAACAAACTCTGTGTCTTGTGAATAAAGTAAAAAAAAAAAAACTCAGGATATCCAAGAGCTCCTAAATCGGAGTAAATATGTTCTATCAGACAGGTTTCTGTTGAAGATTTGTCATGTAGAATGACAACCATGCAAGTTTTGTTTCACATCAAGCATGAAAAAAAAAAAGATAAAATATGATGTTTTGGAGTTAATTTGTTTATCTTACTTTGCACTTTCTACAACTGCAATGCTGAAATAATACATTGTGCAGCCCTGCCTCACACATTATTTATATCATATTGATGGGATATTATTGAAAAAGAGTGAAAAATTAATCAATTTCAAATCATGATTTGAAACAATGCAGTGAGCAAATCACAAAGACTGCAATTTAGAATATGTTATGCAGCGCGTCTGATCCAGCATTTAAACTGTTATGTCAATATTTTAATGAGTTTATGATATGACAGTGATGTTTGTGATGGTATCTTATGTGGTGATGCTCAATAACATGTTTTAAATCTATTACACAGTGAATGTTGAACTAAAGCTTTCACTTATAAAACTTACATTGCAAATTAAATTGCAGTATCTGTCAGAAAAATGTACAATTGAATATTTTTCCCCAAATAGTTTCTGTAGAGAAAATTTACTTACTGCCAGGTCAGTTTAGATGCACAGAAACTTAATGCCTAAATGAACCCTTGATGATGTTGGTGATGCTTTTTCTGGCACTCGCCGTCTTTTCAAATTCAATCCACCAAATTAAAAAGCGACGACAAACCGCAATCAAAAAATTGTCAGCCGCATTTGACCCAGGTCAAGTTCTGACACGACGGTTCAGGAAAGCAGCTGTCACGTACAGAAAAGCCCTTTGTGTTTCCTCTGAGGGATGATTTGGCCTCACATCTCTCAGCTTGACACAGTTCCAAAACAGCTCAAGTTGGTTTTAATTACTAAATAAATTAAAAAGAACAGCAGCTCTGCTTTCACAGGGATCCCAAGCTCTTGCTCTCCAAACCGGCGGTGATTATCTTGCTGAAAAATCACCACAGAGGCTCCAAGACTGCTGGGTTTTAGCATTTAAATGTCGACTGGAGTGGCTTTGTTGTGCAGAAACTCACCTCCCACGGTGTGTTTATGGCTAAACTCCAAACATTACGGATAAGCCAGATGTCCTGCAACCTGCAGGTTAGATTTTCCTAGAAAAGCTGCGCAGGGAACCTCTTGGCACTGTGAAACAAAATGCCAGTGTTTTGAAATGATAAATACTGTGGGAAAGTGTCTTATCTGCGCTCTACAGATGGTACCGTGGTGAAAAATTCTCTTCATAGAGTTGCGTATGTCTGCTGGGCTCTACCTGCTCTCAGTCTGCTGATTTTTGTGGAGGATTTTGTGAAAAGCACCTTTTAATTTTTAGGAAAGTAGAGCTGCAACGATTCAAAAAAAGAAAATTAATGAGCAAAAGTTCTGACAACAGCGAATCATTTTTGAGAAGAAGTGCAGAAATTGTTCTTAAATGTGATGATTTTCTCTTTTTTGTCAGATACAGCAGTACATTAAGTATCTAAAACAAGAAAAATGAAGGATGTCACTCGTCAAACTAAATTACTAACAGTGAAAGTAATTACAAGATTTACTGATAATCAGTGTTATTACTAGTTGTCGCCCTAAAATCTCCTGAAAATCATATTGTATTGTCTCTGAGTGGCAGTTGTAGTTTTCATCTTTATTCAAGTCACTAGACATAACCCAGATTCTGTTATTTTTAGCACCGCTACAGTGCAGTTTGGTGGGACGGAATGAAATCTACAAACATTTAAAGGAAAATGTCAGGTTTTTCTTGTCAGTTTCACAAAATCAAACACTGCCTCTTCTCTTTAGAAATGCCAGTTAACATCAGCATCTTACGGCAACAGAGTGAGAAATCCAGATTACTGAAGATGAGGGAGGGATACTGGTTTGTGCAGGAAAAAAAGATCAGGATGCAATGCAGGAGCACGGTACTGGGAAATGCAAGACGTCACCTTTTGAAGTAGAACTGGACAAGGAAAGTCAGGGGAAAAAGTGTGCACACATAAAACTAAAAAGTCTAGAAGCAGCAGCAGGAAGGCTTTGGACAGCACACATCTGGAACAGCTGGTGGAAACTGTCTAATAATCGACTTTTCTGTTCTGTCTGCAGTCCAGGGTGACACGGCGTCATGTGACAGAAACTTGGCCTTCAACATCAGCTGGTACCTGCGCTCGTCTGTTTGCTATAACGAAGTCTTTAACACGCCAGTGAGTGTCCACTTTTACTGTTTACTTTGTTATTAAAAAGCCCACGATCTGTTTTTTTTTTTTTTTTAACCCCTTTTTTTTTTTTTTTTGCTTGTAAAAAGTCTGCAAAGTCCACACCTCCTTATTTACTTCTCACCTGCCTGAAACGCCTCATTTGAGTCGAGGATTTTCTTCTGTTACTTATCTACATCAACATTTGCATAACAGCTTCCTCGCAGCTAGTTCAGCCCTCAGACAAAAAGTAAGCATCTTCCTCAGTGTCCAGCAGAGTTCCGTTTGTACAGGAAAAAACACAGAAATGTGCTCCGATGCAGTCTCTGATGCCTTTTAAAATGTTTTACAGTTAATCTGTGATCTCTGTTCAGGGTTCAAGCTCCATTTTACATGAATTCTCATCATCAGATGACTGAACTTGTCTCCGTAATACGAAATAAATAAATGAAGAACACTCATAAATAGTCAAATTCAGCAGAAAGAATCGCAGGACACCAGCTTTTCTAACTGATCCATCAGATTTTGACTTATTATTTCACAAGTTTGCCTTTTAATCTCAGAATTCTAACCCTTTATCTATATTTTTGACCTTTTTATATCATAATTCTGACTTTTATCTCACATTTCAAACCCTTTATGGTATAGCTCTTGTTTTAATTTCATAATTCTGATTCAATTAACATGTTAATTTTATTAATAGTTAGGAATTTTAGTATCTCAAGAATTTGCACCAGATCCTGTAACAAAACAAAACCTCCTGATTCTCTGTGACTGACTCAACTGTGAGCAACGGTTAAAAAAAGAAATTCAGGTTGAATTGCAGGCAGTGAGAAAGGTGATGAGAGGAACATCAAACCTACTGGATTAATAAAATAAATGCAGTATGGCTCAAAAACAGTAAACACAGGAGCAAGTTGTTGGAAGACACATTCAGCGTGGTGAAACATCCATATAAATGTGTTTTTTATCAATCGTCACATCCCTTGGGGGAAGTTTTGGTGTTGTAAAAATATTTAAAGAGTTAAATCAGCCCTGTGTTAATGTAAATTAGACTGGAATAATATGTTGTAGGTCGTTTATGATGCGTAATCTGAATGTTTTCAGCCTCTCTGACTCATAAACGTCACCATTCATCACACATGTAGAATAAACCTTGAGCATCAGCTTTGTTTTAGTCTACTTTAATATGCTTCATGTTTGTTAGCACTGTTGCCTCAGTGATATTATGTTACCTAACCCTGCTTTAGCGTATTAATTGCTAATTATGATGATCCTGGTGCTCAAAGTTGATCCTGACATTTTTGGGTCTAATATCCAACTCAGTCCAGTGTGATTATTTTTGTTTTGTTTGTATTTGCTTTGTAATATTTGGAGGTAAAATGGAGCATCTCTGACAGAGAGTATTTAAATTCAATTCAAATAACTTTATTTATCCCCTAGGGGCAATTCACTGAGTAGTTAATATAAAGACATTAAACAAAACAATAAACCACATCATAAATATTAAATATGACATTATATTACATGGGCATTGGCAGGTCAGAGATGGTTGTGCATTTAGAGTAGATGGAGTAAGAAGAGCTGCTGCACAAACATTAAAACATCTAAATGTGTTCCAGTAGACTCAAAAATTGGTTTTGAACCTTTAAGTTTGCACAACAATTTGCTTTTTATTGCAAATGTGAGTCTCCGATTATCTGCTGTTACTTTTGCCACTTTGCTTCCTCTAAAACTTCGCTCGAGTTTTCACTCCTCTGAGGGTTTCGGCTTCACATTCAGTCCGTCAGGCGGAGCAGCTGGTTTGTCCGTCCTGAAGTGATTTCTTGGCCTTGGGCTCCACTTCCTTCCATCTTTGTGCCAGCGCTGGCTCTTTGTCCAGAGGCGTCTTGAACTCAGCTGCGCTTCTCTATCAGTGTTGAAGTGAGGGTGAAATAATAAGGAGATGTCGAGGTCACCTGTAGCCCAGCGAGGGCTTCTTCTTCATTCAGGCGTGTTTTGAAAGGTTGCCGTCAACTTCTGTAAGGCTCAAAACTCTCTTCTAAGTCAGGTAGACAGATGGATATAGGCAGCAGGAGGAACTTTTCTTTACTTTTTAAGAGATGTTAAGAAATTGATAAAGTCCTGAAAACTTCAGAATGGGACGAAAGAGGATTTAGCTAAAATCAGCCAAATATGAACAAAAACTACTGTAATTATTCAAGTTAATATAAACAGAAAACTGAACCCAGTGTGTGATTTGGATATTTGCAGCTACGCGTTCACCAGTTATTTTATTATATATATTTGGAATTAGAGTCCAACTGCCATCATTTATACAGGTGTACATTAATATGTGAATATATCAGTAAGGTGAATTAAACCAATGTCTTTATTTTATTTTTACAAATTAGTTAAGTTGAACTAAAATGTTGTTTTCTTGCTTTTTTGTCGTTTTAAGAGATTTTCTTTGAACCACATCAGTCCAATCACGCTATACTATGTGGACTGATTTTTACTTTTATTTTACACATTTAGTGCAACCTTATGCATTTTTCATGTGTTTTTTTGTCAGTGTTAGGCAAATATACAGATCAGCATGATATATAATCTTATGTTTACTCCATCATCTGCTGTCATGTGGAATTTCGGCGTCATTATGCACTGTGAAATTTAAATATTGAAATATTTTTGGTTGAAATGCGTCTTAAAACATGATTTCATACCGATATCCACAAGGGATCAGGGCCGATATCCATTATTTGTAATCAAGGAGGTTGATAGCCGATATTTGGAACCGATATAGATTTGGGAAATTTAATCAGCGCACAATTCCACACAAAGCCTTGCTGAAATGCTTTAGTTTATTTATGTTTTACGTATATTTTAGTAAAAGAAAACTTCATAAAATGTGTCCTTTAGTGTTGTTTGGTACATTAGTATACGTTTAAAGTAATTTATGTTGTTGGACATGTGTTTAAAAACGTAACAATAATCTGGAAAATAGTGAATATCAGATTTTATAATCAACCAGGCTCATAATCAGTCGATGTCGTGTTCCTCCGTGTGACTGTAAATACACACAAGATGTTGTTGCTGCTGAAGTACTCTGTAAAATATTTGTTTTTCCTTGGACAAATGCCACAGTTTGTCATCATTAAAGTACTATCCTGCCTGTTTAGAGAATCCTACCTTTACACAATCATCTGAACTCATGTTGTTATTTACTTTTCTCCCTGAAGGACAACAAGGCGAGGAACATGTTCGGCATGGACCACATGTTGAAGGATGGCTGGAGCGGCTTCTACAGTCAAGGCTACATGTACTTCGAAAACTGCTCCTCCCTCTTCTCCCCGAAGGTCTGTGACAAAAACGTTATCTCACAGTACAACACATAGCACGTAAACACTGTGTTTATATACATATAAACATATAGATGATACACGAGACTGCGCATATGAAAGTAAAAACTGTACCTGAGAATGTTTTAAACGTGGCTGGAGCACTGGGAGCAGAGTATCGCTGCACAAATGTAAATCAGTCACGGTTTTTACTTTGTATAGGTTTCTATATCTGAAGTACTCGTTTGCATCTTGTAAATGCGTGTCTTTACTTTGGCCTTCCTTCTAGGCGTACTACTCAGACTTCAACCCTTATCAGCCGCTTTCCAGCCCAAAGGTGGGTGATTGAGCTTATTGACATCATCATCTAAAAGCTTAGACTTTAGCCCTGTTTTCTGTTTACACTTCCAAATCACCAAACATTATGAAGCACAGATTTTTTCCATTTGTTTTTGGCGTTTTTACTTTTTAGAGCGACACATCGAATCAGAGCCTCACGTGGCCTGACAAGCCGGTAAGACATGTTTTTATTACAAAACTGTATCGTTAAGAGGTGAATGCTCAGAAACTTTTACTTCTGTCTGACGTTTTTCAGACACTCAGAGTTCTTTGCATGCATAATATGTGTATATTTAATACTAAAGTAGTTTCATCCACTGGATTTAAAGCTCTAAATCATCTTATTTTAGGATCGCGGTGCCGTGGCCAAAGCCTGGGACGACAGTCCATATCTGTTCATCGTGAGGGTTCATTGTCAGCCTCGTAACACTGAGGATGAAGACACAGGAGAGCAGCTCAACTTTGCTTTTACAAGTGAGAAACAACCATTTTGCATTAAGAACTTTGGAATCTTGTATATTTACTGAGTGGATAATTAATTAAAAAAATAAAAGTCTGAACACAAGATTTGTTTTCTTCTTTATTCACCAGTGAAAGTGGAGATGAGAGGACCACACGACTACTCCTCTCCAGCCGACTGGCCCCAGATGATGGTAAGCAACTTAACTTATGTAAGAATAACTGACTTCATAGATTTATAGAACAATTTCTGCTCAACCATCTCTGATTTGCCTGAAATGTTTACAGCATAGAATATGGATATTTCTAAAGATATTAGACATTTTAGCTGAATATATCAAATACTTGAAGAGATAACATAAAAAAGGGGGGGGGGGTTCTTGGTCTTCAGCGGTCCATGAAGACGAAGCTGAGCCCGTTTGTGTCTCTTGTGCCCACCACAGTTCTTCATGGTCATGTGTATCGTGTAC